TGCTATAAAATCCATGCATTGGGTCAAGTCTTTTCATCTGTTTTCTGCAACATACTACTAACTTATTTTAAATATGTTGTGGGCTGACTGCAGTCTCTAGATCACCTGTGTATCAGTTTCTGTTGTCCATTTGTTTTGTTCTTTTGCTTTTCAGTCATGTGGTCCTGTCTCTTGGCATGCCTGATGTTTTTCATTGAATGTCACACAGTGTATTAGAAATTCTCAGTGGTCAGTGAATGCCTTTTGCTAGGCGGGTAGCATGCTGATTGATTTTCTTAACCCACAGTTGACCTTAGATGTGTTTCAGTTTTGCCAGACTTGGTCTCCCTTTCTCCCTTTGTTTTGCCTTGTCCTGGAGCATTGGTGTGCTCTGCAGAGCCCATCCTTCTATAGATTCTGCTTCTAGCCTTTTCTTTTCTTTCCTTTTCTTTTCTTTTCCTTTGGAGTAGGAGTCTTACTCTGCCGCCTGCGTGGGAGTGCAGTGGCACGCTCATGGCCACCGGCAGCCTCGACCTGCTGGACTCAGGCGATCCTTCGACTCAGCCTTCCAAGTAGTTGGAACCACAGGCATGCACCACCACACCCAGCTAATTATTCGATTTATCGTGGAGACAGGGTCCCGCCATGTTGCCCAGGCTGGTCTCCAACCCATGGGCTCAGGCCGTCCCCTCGCCTCAGCCTCCCAAGGTGCTGGGATTACAGGTGTGAGCCACCATGCCTGACTTCTAACCTTTTCAGCACCAGAAGGGGAGAGAAAACTGTTCTGCGTTTCAAAGATTTTTGGTTTTTACTTTTTAGCCTTCTGGGGAAGTGTTGGAATTTGGCATGTATCTTAAAGAGGATTCCAGTTGGCTTTGTAGCTCCTCAAAGGTCCGGTTTTCTCACTGCAGCCGCAAGACCACCAGAACCCATGTTTCTCCACCTTCCAGCTGTGGCCTTCTCTGGGGAGAGCCTGGACTTAGACTCTTGCTTATGCAGAGTAGTGGCAGATGTGCCAGATCAGCGAGTTCAGAGATGCTGGTTTCTCCTTCGTCCGGCGTACGGCAGTGGGTGCTGAGATGGGGCTAGGTGTGCACGTGCTTTGGGTGCTGTCAGTCATCCAAGAGCTGTCGCCTGGGAAGGAGGAGACGGGACTGAAGGAGCGCATCTGCCTGAGGCACACTTGCTGGCATCTCAGCCAGCCCGTGGCGCTGAGCGGGCAGCAAGGGCGGGTGGTTGGTGGGCGTGAGGCAGGGACAGCCTGGCAGGCAGGCGCTGCTGCTGTGGTTCTTGGCCCGTGTGCTCCTCCCAGCCGAGCTGCAGGTTCTTTCTGGAAGAAAGGTGCAGGCAGTGTTCTTCACTTCGCTCTGTCGACATCAGGCTGGCTGGAAGTCGCCTGTTTCAGTTTTGGGAGGTCTGCCTTTTTCTGGTTCGTTTCTGGTTCTTTTGCCTTTTGGTTTTCTCCGTTGGAATCTCACGGCTGCCACAGCCTCGACCAGCTGGGCTCGGGTGATCCTTCGCCTCTGCTTTCCGAGTTGTGGAACTTCAGGCATGTGCCACGGTGCCTGGCTAGTGATTTCTTCATATAATACTGCTGTATAACCATCTTGTGGGGTTTCCGTAGTCAGTTCAGCCAGTTTCATCGTGATGGGCTTGGGGTTGTTTGAAGTGTTTGTCCTTCCGATATTGCTGCCCTGAGCGGCCTTGTGCTTGAGTTGGCTCTGTGGAAATTTCTTCAGGGTGAATTCCTAGAGCTGAGGTTGCTGAGTCAGAGAGCAAATCCATGCGTGATTGATCAGATTCTGCCAAGTTCTCTTTCATAGGGTTTTCCCTGTCCCCCTGCCAGAAGTGTGTGAGCCTCTTTCTCTACACCCTTACTAGCAAAAGCGTGTGGTCCGTCTTGTAGATTTTTGCTAGTCTGATGGCAGAAGTGATGTCAATATAGTGGCAGGTTGCAGTTCTGTCGACCATGTCTAGTGATTTTTTTTCTGCTGGGTTTTTGTTCTAGTTTTTTTTCTTTTGCGTTGGAGTCTCACTCCATTGCCCAGATTGGAGTACCATGGCCTGCCCACGGCCACCCCAGTGTTGCCCTGCTGGGCTCCAGCGAGCCTTCCACCTCAGCCTTCCAAGGAGCTGGGACTGCAGGTGTGCTGCACCCCCACACCCAGCTAAGTTTTTGATTTATTGTAGAGACGAGGTCTCACCAAACTGCCCAGGCTGGTCTCAGACCCTTGGGCTAAGGCAGTCCTCTCGTCTCGGCCTCCCAAAGTGTGGGGATGACAGGCTTGAGCCACTGCCCCCGGCTTCTTGTTCTGGTTTTAAAAGTTATTTCTGTATTAAGTGTATTAGTTCTTTGTCTAAATAGTTTGCAGATATTTTCTCTGCATTTGTGTTTTTACTTAGCTTATGGCAATTTTTGCTGTTTTGAAATTTTTCTTTTCCTTTTATGAAAGGGATCAGTCATGCCAGTCCCTTGCTGAAGGGCGGGCTGACCTTTCCAGCCTCCTTGCCAGACGGGAGCTAGCTAGAGTAGATGCTGAAGGAGACAAGTCTCACTGTCTGTGGGAGGGTGAGATGGCACTTGAGAAGACCGTGCTGTGGCCAGAGACCGACAGGAGCAGGAAGAAACAGTGGTTCTTAGCTCTGTTGCTTGGAACCCCGCACATGAGCTGCCTAGAGAGAACGGGGAAAAGGCTGGTGCTGTACCCAGGGCCAGCTAAAGCAGTGCTGGCGAGGGTCATTTCACGGCTTCCCCTGTGGGGCTTGGGGCACGGGCTGAAGTCTTCTGTTATAGTGGAAATCTTCAGGCTAGCTTGGGGGCGGGGCGGGGCGGGGCATGGAATGAGGATATCAGGCAGGACTGCAGGATTCCAGTAGGGAGCTTTATGCAGACTCTTCTGCCAGAGCCACCCACAGAGATTTGTCCTTTGGAGTTCCGCTCAGCTCACCCGTAGGGGTTCCTTGCTTGGGCTGCAGTTTCCACTGTGGATCCTGAGGGACGGTGGTGCCACCCTGCCCAAGTGCCCTGGGAGGCACCTTTCTCTGGGCCTCCTCAGCGTGACTTCCTTCACGTGGCTTCCTTCGACAACTGCTTTTCTCACTCCACTTCATTACCGGCTAGAGACGGGACAGAGCAGTCTCACAGCTCGTTGGGACAGTAGTCAAGGCTAGCGAGCCTGGTTCGTCTCGTTGGCTGTGAGTCTGGGTGCAGAGAAGACTTTCTAGTGCCCTGGCTGTCGGGCGAGTGATGCCACCTGTGCTGTGACCTGGCGTGTCAGGCAGGAGGGAGCAGGGTCCTCCCCGGGTTCCGGGCCTGTGGCAGTTGGGGGCAGGTGGCCGGCCCTCTCTGCTGGCAGATACCCGGGGACCAGGATTCAGGCTGTAACTGTAAATATCTCCCTTGAGGTTTCTGTTGTGCTTGTGTGATAAGTTATTGGTGGCTGTGGTTTAGTCTCCCTAAGATGTCTCATTTGTATTAACGAAGATCAGCTTGTTGGCACGAGGGTTACCACTGGGTTGTTCCCACCTTCGTGTGTCTCCAGTGCCACTCGGAGCCCCTTCAGTAAGAAGACTGAAGCTTGATGACATTTGCAGCCTGGGTTTATGACCAGTGTTCTAGTTTGTTTTTTGCTCTTCTAGCAGTACAGACTGGGTAACATATAATAAAGATCAGAACTTTATTGGGCTCATGGTTCTGTAGGCTGGGAAGTCCAGGAACATGGTGTTGATGTCTGGCAAAGGCTTTTGGGCAACATCATCTCATGGTGGAAGGCACGAGGGCAAGTGATCATGGCAGACAGAGAGGAAGGGGGCTCAGCTTGTCCTTTTTGTCAGGAACCCACTCCCAAGATAAGTAACCCGTTCCCATGACGATGGCATTAATTCATGCATGATGGCAGAGGTCTCGTGACCTAATTACCTCTTAAAGGTCCCGCCTCTCAATGCTGTTACCACGGAGTTAAATTTCAACATGAGCTTTGGAGGGAACTTTTAAACCAAATCAGCTGGCCACCCCGAGTTGGAAAAGTTGGGGAATGGAACTTCAGAATCTGAAGAAGCCTGAAATGAATTTAGAAGCTTTAAACAGTGCCTGAGAACAAAAAATAATAGCTTTTAAGTGAAAATGTGTAATATTGTGGGGGACATGTCTTTGGATTCAGTGAGAATGAATGACCTAAACCTTTTGCTGTTGCCTGGTAGTGGCAAAAACAGGCCCTTGAGTCTCAGCTAGCCTTGAATCCTGATTCTTCCAGACTGCAGTGAAGCCAGGTGCGGGTAGCTGCAGGACTAGCACATGACACTCCGGGCACTCTCCTTACTCTTGCGAGGTAATAACTTGTGTGGGCGGGGCTCGGTGGCTCAGCCTGTCATCCCAGCACTTTGGGAGGCCCAGGCGAGTGGATTGCCTGAGCCTGCGGGTTCGAGACCAGTCGAGGCAATTGACAAGACCTCGTCTCTACAATAAAAATTAGCCGGGCGTGGTAGTGTGTGCCTGTAGTTCCAGCTACTTGGAAGACTGAGGCAGAAGGATTGCTGGAGCCCAGCAGGTCGATGCTGGGGTGGTCCTGAGCCTGCGTGCCACTGCACTCCAGCCTGGGCAACAGAGTGAGACTCCAACTCAAAAAAAAATGTGATTAGAGTCTGGAATAAAACTGCCAGAAGTGTTGGGGTTTTCCTGAGTACAGCTTGGATTTTTCTTTTGCATTTTAATGATGATTTTCCTGTTCTTGACACTGGACTTCTAACTCAGTTTCTGCCAGTTTTTTCAGCTGTAGAAAATTGTAAGCATTTCTTTACTCGGAGGTTTAAAGGATTTTATTATGATTGTGACCCGTCAAAGTTCTGAGGACAGAAGACAGCTGGAGACACAGTACTGGGCACATATAAGGCTCTTGGGGCCCTCGCATAGACTGTGGAGTTGTGGGGAGGAAGGTTAGAATGACGGGTTTGTGGAAGCTCTGGTGGTTTTCATGGCTACTGCAGTTGATGACATGGATTGTTCTGTGTGTGTTCTTCTTCAGCCAGTTTTCCCATGGGCTACGCAGCAGCAGCTCCTGCCTATTCTCCTAACATGTACCCTGGAGCGAATCCTACCTTCCAGACAGGTATGTGCTATGTGACAAAACACTTGTGTGTGCTGGGGAGAAGGTGAAGGGGATGGATTTGGAGAAGGGCGGGCATAGAGTTGGGACTTGGTTGAGTTGGTTTCTCAAGTCCTTCAGATTAGCCTTATTGACAAAAAGCTGCCAAATTCTGTAAAATATTTTAGGATGGTTTATTCTGGCCAAACTTGAGGACCTAACTCACCTGTGCCCACCATGGTTAAATGATAGCTTGGTTATATGCAATTTAGGAGGACAGAAGTTACAAGAAACCAAAAATCAATACATGTGAGATTTATACTGTTTCAGTCCAGGGAGGTGGGACATTTCCAAGGTAGGGGATGCAGGCTGTAGGTGGATTCTGAGATTTTTCTGAACAACTTGTTATCATAGTTATCTCAGGAATCTGGAAAAGTAGTAAAAAAAACGGGCACCTTGGGGAAGATGAGGAGACGGAGTTTTGGGGTGCTTAGATGAAGTTTTTGGGGTGGAGTCGTAGACTTCAAACAGAGCAGGTAGTTGTTTTAAAAGACACTAGAGTCCCCCAAAACAGCTTCACAGGGTCCTGAGATACTTTTTCGGAGTCATTCTCATTCTGTTGCCCAGGCTGCAGTGCAGTGGCATGCTCACGGCCACCACAGCCTCGACCTGGAGGGCTCAGGTGATCCTTCCACTTCAACCTAGTAGCTGGAGCCATAGGCATGTGCCCCCAAGCCTGGCTAACTTTAGGGTTTGTTGTACAAATGAGGTCTTGCCATGTTGCGCAGCCTGATCTCGAACCCCTGAGCTCAGACATTCCTCTCTCCTCTGCCTCCCAAACTGCTGGGATTACAGGTGTGAGTCACTGCACCCAGTGCATAAAATACTTGGATTTTTCCTTCTTCATCTGTCAGAGTCAGGTTGTAAAGTAAATCACATGAAAAGTTAGGAATTTGTCAATGAGAAGAAAAAAAGTTGGTTGGGTTATCAGCCTGTTGATATGTACAATAAAAGCTTAATTCTTATTGTGTGTAAAACTGTATAGACTGTGTTTCTCAAATTCTCCCACAACACAAATCTTTACTCACTAGGTTGTTGCAGGCAACTCCTTGTTTCAGAACATCCATTCATGAAAATGTTGCCTTCAGAAAATGAAGACCATCTTGCCATGCTACGAGGTGGAATTTCCATGTTGCCAACATTTTTAGAGATAATTTCTGATTTCACGACAGTACTTTAGCACCTTGCTTCTATTTTAAAAAGAAAGCCTCCGCCGGGTGTGGTGGCTCACGCCTGTAATCCTAGCACTTTGGGAGGTGGAGGCGAGAGATTGCCTGAGCTCAGGGGATCAAGACCAGCCTGGGCAATTTAAGGAGACCTCGTCTCTACAGTAAATAAAAAAATTAGCCGACCGTGTTGGCACGTGCCTATAGTTCCAGCTACCAGGGAGGCTAAGGCGGAAAGATTGCCTGAGCTCAGGGGTTCGAGACCAGCCTGGGCAACTTGATGAGACCTTGTCTCTATAGTAAATTAAAAAAAAATAAGCCGGGTGTGGTAGCATGCGCCTGTAGTCTAACTTCTCGAAGGCTGAGGCAGAAGGATCACCTGAACCCAGCTGGTTTAGGCTGCAGTGGCTGTGAGCATGCCATTGCACTCCAGCCTGGGCGACAGAGTGAGACTCTGACTCGAAAGAAGAAGAAAGAAAACCATATTTTTTATTGAAGGTGTATAAGAATATTTTTAGGCCTCAGAAATTGTTAACACTGAAAGTGGACCTGGCTGGGTCTTAATCCTGAGACGGTCGCTTATTCAGTGGGGTTTCCTCCAGCCTGCGCTGCCTGGGGTTGACTCCTTTGGGCTCTCCCTGCTCCCAGGCCTCTGCCACAGCAGTGCTGGCCTGTGCTCCGGCCCGAGGGCTCGGCCTGGCCTACACACCTTGCTCCTGGGATTGCCAGGACAGTTCTTGGTTCCTCAACACCAGCCCTCACACGGCTGGCTCAGACAGAAGAAGAAGAGATGGCAGCGTTCTTTTTCCCCCGAAGCCTTCTGTTTTGCTCTATGATAGTCCTGCCGTTTCTTTCTTCCCGTTGCCTCTGTGGTGCCTCTGTTCAGCCTGAAGCTCACACCTGGAGAAGAGCCGACTTGACTTAGTCTTCCTACTCCCAGCCTTTCTCTCCCCTGGTTGATGCTCCTATCATTTAAACCAGAGGGCCATTCCCCGATGAAGTGTCTTGTGATGGTTTTCTTTTTTTTTTGAGTTGGAGTCTCCCTCTGTTGCCCAGACTGGAGTGCAGTGGCCGCTCCCGGCCACCGCAGCCTC